GTCCAGCTTTAGGTATTGGGAATAAATTGAAAGTGCAGGGCTTGTTATCAATGGTGTTGTTCTTTTCTTGGTTTACTTTGTTCCCGTCATTGCTACCTTGGCAAACATCTCTCCTGATCAGGAGGAAGCTAAGAAGTGGGCCCTCAAAGTGAGTTATTCATATGTCTTTTTTATGAATACTCAGGCGTAAGAGAAAATATCATGAACTTTTTTGTCAAACCTTTCTCTGTAAAACAGATTTTACATTTCCTTTCTAAAAAACATCAAGGACTTTTAAAAATTATCATGATTCGCTAATCACAAAAGTAGTTTAGAAAAGTACTTGTAAAGCAAATTTTCACCAGATGCCGAAAATGTATATTGCAGGAATACTCTTGTGCCCGATCTGCGATAGATGCTCCACGACTTCATATTTACACCTTAGATAAAATCTACAATGCAATTTACGCGGTCACAGTTCTCGCTTCCTTTTCGGGTTTTGTTGGTTCGATGACGATAGCACTGTCATTCTACTTTCTGGCCAAAGCTTCTGCTATGTCGCAAAAGACAAAACGTATGCAGAAACGATTTCTCATAGCCCTCTGCATTCAGGTATCCCCTCATATTGAGGAAGTTATCCAAATGTATCGTTTCGCCAGTTCAAAATTGTTCTAGATTCTTATTCCCTTATTCACTCTCCTGATACCTATCACGATCATGTTATGGGGACGCTATTTTCGAGGTACGACTTATTTCTGGAATATTCATGGCGTCATAAAGTTTTGGAATACCCAAAATATGTACAGCAATCGCGGTGCAGAATATTCGTTAGAAAGTGAATCAAATATGCATTCTAATTTGAAACAAATCATAGTACCTTATGGAATAGATACCATACTAACCTCTACAAAATCATCATCGTCAATTGAGATAGATTCAATGTAAGCATCTTCTCGGGAACTTATTATGACATCATCCAGCCAACACCCGCGATACTTTTAAATTTATCCCATCAGTGTTTCCTCCTTAAATTTACCTTCCACTGTTTTATCCATTGGAACTTGCACGAACTTGATACACATGGCCAATGACTTTTATTTTGCGATTTCAGTACGACTTCAGAGATTGTGCAAAGTCCTGAGGGTCACCGGTCTTTTTATTTTTTCAACGTGCCCTCCCAACTTCGAGAGGTGCACTTCATAAATTACGAACTGATGGCATATAAAAAATTCAAGTGACCAAGATGTCCACCAATAACTTTGCAGAAGAGATAGATCCATCGTTTAGATGTATTGACGCGCAATTAGTGTTCCAAGAAAACCATAAAAATTTTAGTTTTTATTTCTAGCTCGTTTAACAAAAGTTATATTTTCCTGCAGTTAAGGGAACTTGGGCAGTGGGTTGCTATGGACTTCATGGAATTACTGCTCCTTTGTCATTACTCATGTGTAACGACAATTATAGAAATTTTGTTTTCAGAAGGCTGAGACTTGGTGGGTTTTTTAGATTCATCC